GATTTTCCAGGAGCAGAAGATATTTTCCTCTGTAGTTTTATTTACTACTTTCTATCCCACCTATGGACCCCAAGTTCTCTATGCTGGTCGCAAACATAGAGTTAAAAGCAGGAAAAAATAAAAACGGAGACCTTGAAGAAGTCCCAACAGCAGTCGAAGAAAGTTGGAATCAAACCCTAGCCGGATTAGGCAAGTATCATCTGTCCTGGTAGGAATGATTGGCGGAAGAGCTGGAACAGCATTAACAGCCCCCTGTGAATTGCTGGAGGGAACTTTCTCCAACGGATTGTCCATGTCATAGCTCTTGCCTTCAGCCTAATGACTTGAAGCACTCGTTGGGTTGGCTGGACTTTGTCTAACCCAGGAAGTTGGAAAGAAGGAGTTCCATTATTAAGATTCTCCCTCTGGCTCTTTCTTGTTCATATTGGTTTGGTAGACTCCTAGCTGAACTGAGTTCCTGGTGACTTCCTGGACAATGTTGGATTTTTGTTTTAGCAACAATACAAAAATGGTTTGACATGCCTTCAGGGATGGTTTTATTGTCTTGCCAGTCTAACCTGCAGCTCCAAAATTTCCTGGTGTTGTCCCATCCAACTACCACCCCTACTTAACTTTCTGAGATCTAAAAATTATCTGGCCCAAAGGTAAGGATGTGCTGCTTCGCCTTGGTTGCCAAGACGTTTGCAGAAGTTGAGGTCGGTTCAAGGAAGACATTACTTTTCATGCCTTTCATTAGTGTGAAAGTTGGCTGCACATCCCGTCTGGCCTTTCAAAGAGGTTTTGAGGGATTTTGGTGGCTGATCTTTTAATGAGGGAGACCCTGTGGCAGCTCTAGGTAGCTTTATTCTTTATAAGGCTGAAGCTCAAACATGACCATGAAGGTCTTCAGTTTTCTTGGTCTTATTCGGGCCTGAGTTTAGGTTGCTTCCAACTTTATATAGTTGGTTGGGTTTGGGCTAAGCACGATGGAGGAACTCAAGCCCTGCAGATGACATCATGGCTAATTTTGGCTTGTTCAATAAACCATGGCTTACTACAGTATATGAACTAGTAATGGGGTAAATGCCCACCAAATTATTTATTTATGTATTTATGTATTTATTAAATTTGAATGCCACCCATCTCCCTTAGAGGGTGACTTATGACAGAAGCATTCTAGAAGCATAGCCCACTGGAACTGTATTCGTAAAAAGCCACAAGGACGGGTCTTGAGGCACACACCGGTGATTGCATAAGCTTTCATAAATCATTGTCCCCATCATTGGATGTGTGGAATACAGTATGGAGAAAACAGGAATACCCAGATATACCACAAGCTGCTGGGATGGAAGGGGGAAAGATGAGACCGTGGGAATGATTTCTAGATTGGGATTGTGAGCAAAACAGCTGGGAACCATCACCCAGACGTTCTGCCCTCGATGATCTGGTCCACAACCTTCTGTAATCTGGTGCTTGGCAGATATGCTGGATTACAGCTCCCATTGTACATAGCAAGCATGGCTGTAGGCTGGAGAAGGCTGCTGTAAAGGCCAGGGATTTGCAATCTAATTAGATAAATTGATGATGAGGTTGTTTATTTGGATAAAGCGTGGCAATTATATAGCCTCCTTGACCTATATTTCAGTTAGCAGCTGAGTTGCCTTGTTCATTTGATCCATCTGAATGACTGTTTGCTAAACATCTCCAGTTGGTCTATGCATATGTGTGCGCGCGCGTGTATTATAAGCTATCTATCTGGAATACTACTAAATATTACTACGACTACTACTAATCCCCGTCTGTAAGACAAGCCAGCGTGGTGATCTTACACATTTGCATGCATGATAGGCTCAGCTTTTTGGCTGCTGAGCTGAGCTAGGTTTATGGAGCTTAAAGGTGCTCCTTCAGGCTGTGCTGAGCAAAGAGAAGCTGTAGTATATTTTTTAAAATGTATGTTTGATGTCTCTTGAGTTGCGATATGGTTTTAATTGTTACCCT